TTATTATTATATTATTATTATATTATTATTATTATTATTATTATTATTATTATTATTATTATTATTATTATTATTATTATTATTATTATTATTATTATTATTATTATTATTATTATTATTATTATTATTATTATTATTATTATTATTATTATTATTATTATTATTATTATTATTATTATTATTATTATTATTATTATTATTATTATTATTATTATTATTATTATTATTATTATTATTATTATTATTATTATTATTATTATTATTATTATTATTATTATTATTATTATTATTATTATTATTATTATTATTATTATTATTATTATTATTATTATTATTATTATTATTATTATTATTATTATTATTATTATTATTATTATTATTATTATTATTATTATTATTATTATTATTATTATTATTATTATTATTATTATTATTATTATTATTATTATTATTATTATTATTATTATTATTATTATTATTATTATTATTATTATTATTATTATTATTATTATTATTATTATTATTGCAATGTTTGATGTATTTTAAAAGAAAAAGAATGACGACGTCATTTTTAGTTCGGAAAAATTCCGCACGAGTTAAATTTCGCGACGATCGTTACGTTCGAAATTTGTCCGTTAAAATTTAAATTTAAATTTTGTTTTTTGTTTGTCTTCAGGTGTGCGGAAGGTTTTATGGGCCAAAGATGCGAGTTCAAAGATTTGGACGGTTCTTATTTACGTGAGTAAAATATGGATTTGATTTTTAAAAAAAAGAAAATTTAACGGACGGCATTTTTACTCTTTACATTTTTTCTTTGCAGCTTCAAGACAAAGAGTTTTATTGGAGACGGCGTCGATAGCCGGCGGTGCAACCATAGCAGTGTTCCTAGTGGTAATAGCTTGCGTGACTCTATACCTTCACTACCAGAGGAAATCGAAAGAGAAAAGGATAGCGAGTTCGGATAGGAAAGACGGAGGAGCCGAAAGAGGTTTGGAAAGGCGAGCGTTCAATCGATGTTTATCGATATCCATGGAACGATTACCGGAGGTACGTACGAATATAACAAAAAACAAAAAAGAAAAAAAAAACACACAAAAAAAAAAAAAAAGCAAACAACCAGAGGTCTACTCTGTTTCCGGTATATTAGTTTCCATATAGGACCGACCTCATGAAATTGATGGTGTTGTTTATTTTTAAAAGTGCCGGAAGAATGTTAGCAAATAATGATTGTTTGTCCCAGGAGGACGAGAAGAAAACAGTGACACGTAGTATCGATCTGGGACATAATAATCCTT